TATATATATATATATATATATATATATATATATATATAGAGAGAGAGAGAGAGAGAGACTTGGGATCATGTGAGACCAAGGGTTTTTCGTGAGACTTGTAAGACCAATTCTTAACTCTTGGATTAGATCTACAATCTGACAATCTGAACATTCATAAACGCCACGAGACTTCTCAATAATCACAAAATTGTCACCGTACAACTTTAGATCATTAGCTTATAAAGTTGATCAATGAACATAAATTGGTCTTACGGGTCTCACGAATTACCCTTGGTCTCACGTGAACCCAACCCTATATATACATATACATATGTTTTCAACTACTACTCAACGAATCAATGATTATAAACAATTGAAATTTGGTTATATATTAAAAACTAACAAATAAAACATTGAAAAGGTAGGAAAAATCAAATATCGTATTAAAAAATTGTGCCACATAATTAAACCAACGTCTTGTTTTTATATATTTATAGATTATATGATATTAATGAAAATGCAAAAATCGATTTTAATTCATTTTTTTTTTCCAATTTTGGCATATTGAACTGTAAACAAGTATTGGACTGTATTTGACACATAAATAACAGTTTTTTTATTTCATTTGCAAAATGCAACACTCATTATTAACAAAAAATAATAATCAACAACCAAAAAAACATAGTAAGACGGTTTATACGAAAGCACGCACTGTTACAAGAAAATAAGTTAAATAAAAAATCCGTCATAACTACAATACACAAAACCCCTTCAAAATGACAACCGGGTCTTGTAACAATACGTAACCAAGTTGAGATTACTCAGTAATAAAGATGAGATTTAAATCAGAGATTTTCTAACACCTGTCGAAAAAGGTACAAGTTACAGGTCATTGCTTTGTTATCAGGTTCTGCCTGTATAGATATGCAATCCAGTAGCCAAAATGAGAATAGTAAAGGCACCAAAGAAAAGAAGTGTGTGAAATATTACAGCTTTCCCGTTAGTGCTGAAGCTGCCGAACTCAACTGTACGTGTATTTCCAGGAACCTGAAAGATGAGCCCCGGAGACAGAAGTATAAACAGTAATAAGCCTACTAATATGGGTGCCCAATCCAACATTTTTCAGTGTTGTAAGTTAGAGTGTTTCAAGTGTGTAGTTTGTGGTATGGTTTGAAGGTCTTGGTTTCTCTAAATACAAGCAAGAATGTGGTTTTTCCCTTTCTATTTGCCTTTTGTTGCCCATACTTTATTCCTTGCCCTCCTTGTCTCTTTCTTGTGACTAAAGGATTGCATATTGTAAAGTGTGGTAGCAAGATGGAGTGTTTTATTGGTGTGAGTTGTGAGTGGTTAGTTTATATATATATATATGACTTGAGATCATGTGAGACCAAGGGTTTTTTGTGAGACTCATAAGACAAATTCTCAACTTTTGGATTAGATATACAATCTGAATATTCATAATCATAAAATTGACACAAGACTTCTCAATAATCACAAAATTGTCACCGTGCAACTTTAGACCGTTAGATAATTAGCTTATAAAGTTGATCAATAAACATAAATTGGTCTTACGGGTCTCACGAAAAACCCTTAGTCTCATGTGAACCCAACCCTATATATATATATATATATATATATATATATATATATATAAAGCGAGGTGGTTTTATTTGCAAACTCAACTATAGTATAAATTATACAAATTAATTAATTGAGATATTTATGAAAATATTAAAGGTTCGTTTATTATGATCTGGATATGTAAATATATATGAAGGAATGAGGATTATCAAAGTTAATCTATTATGATAAACGCTTTATATTATGAAGCAATCGAGATATTTATTAGACTAGATGGACGGTTAAAAGAAAGTTTGCAAAGTTTATACTAATATAACGGTATATAAATGATCCCCTCTCTCTCTCTATATATATATATATACACACACACATATATATATATATATATACACACACACACATATATATATATATATACACACACACACATATATAGGATTGGGTTCACGTGAGACCAGTATGTTTTTGTGAAACCCGTGAAACCACTTTTTTACACATGAACTTTACAGCAAAACGCTATGAAGGTAAAAAAAAAAGCCGAACCTTTACAGGAAAAACATTGTAAAGTTGTCTTCACAACATTTTGCTGTGAAAGTTTCAAGTGTCAAAAAATAGTCTCATGGGCCTCACAAAAATAAGTTGGTCTCACGTGATCCCAAATCTATGCGCACGCACACACACACACACACACACACATATATATATATATATATATATGTGTGTGTGTGTGTGTATGTGTGTGTGCGAGCGCGCGATCAAATGCAAAATACTCATATTTGTACAAACCGTGCAAACCACCCTTATCTGTCGATTTCATTGTTTAATCTTATGAAAAAATTTCATGAAATTGTTTAATCTTACGCTTTTTTTGATAAAGTTGTTTCATATATGATTATGAAATTGTTTCATATAATACTTAATAAAATTGTTTCATGTATTTCTCTAAAATTAATATAATGAAGACGATAATATCCATTATTAGCACCTCCATAATAAAAATGATTAATCAGCCTCTTATAATTACATAAAAAATGAACAAAAGAAAAAATTATGATTGACTAAATGAGGTTTGTACAGTTTATACAAATAACTTGATTTGTAAAATAAACCTCTTATATATATATATATATATATATATATATATATATATATATATATATATATATATTCAATATACAGTTTTTCTTTTTTTTTGAAGGAGAAATATATTAAGTTAATCAAGTATGTAACAAAAAATAATACCATTAAAAAAAACAGGATGGATGTGGTAAAACGGGACGGGTTCCTAAAAGGATCAAAAAAGGTAAGTTTTTTATACGGGTTAAATGGTCCACTGAGTATGAATGGCTGATCAAGGTCATTTTTTAGCATGTTAAATGTGTAATTTGAACAGGGTCTCGAAAATTTTGGAGTCCAGTTTAATATTATTTAGGATCTTTCATTAATGAATGTAGAACTATAATTCATCTTTGTATTTCTCTAATTTCTATCAGAAGACAAAATGAATACGCTTTATCGTTGTCTCTGTGATTTGTATTTGTTTCTGTTATCTTATTTTGCAGTGCAATCAAAAGTTTTAAATATAAAAGGGTCTCCAAAAAGATTGGAACATCCTGTTAGCTAAGAATTTTGGTTTATTATTACATAGACAACGTATTAAAGGGGTGTTTGGATTGTTTATTTCAAATAACTTATGTTTTTCTACAAAAGTCCTTATCAACTTATTATAAGTTATAATTGTTTAACTTCTTCAAAAACTCTTTATTACCAGTTTGATACCGGTATAAGTTGTTTATCTAAACATCAAAAGTGCTTATTACAGGTGTCACACCGAGTGAAAATTCAAATATTTGTCCTACATTCATTCGTGAAGATACTGCTAATGGGCTGAAGACCGTATCAACATGTCTTCTTGTCCTTAGACGGAACTTCGCCTTGTGTAGGCCCAATTTCATGGACGTCTATCTAGAGGATTTCGTGAACTCGAACCCGAGAGACCCTGGTCGCCAAGGCCCAAGGCCCTCTTGAATTTTAGTACCTATGTTGATGTAACTTTAAGCTTATTTCTTGGGTTTCAATTTCTTGTTTGCTTTAGGGTAAAAATCGATTAGCGCTTCATCTAGCTTGGCATAACGGTTTTGCCTCCGATGGGAAGAACTCCTCGTAATCATGTTGATTGATCATCGGTGTGGTAGAACTATTTGAAGCATGGTCACTGGTGGTCGATGCACAACACGACAAAGAACAAGGAAGGACTGGAGTTGCAAAAGGCAAATCACTGGTATTTGGTAACTTCTGTGTGAGCTTAATCTGACGTATTCCAAAAAGATCATGAAAGAGAAGCGACTTAAACGAAGGAGAATGGCTGATTTAACCCGATCATAAATAAAAATTACTCGCTTGATTTGTTATTTAAATATGTTGGACCCATTTATTTGATTATTACTACTTCTGAATTTTATCCGTTTACAATGTTTTGTTTATTTATTTATGGATTTTTTAAATAATTTAAAGGGTAAATTGTTAACTAACGTACTTTAACTTGATTTCTATTTTGGTTAACGTACTTTCAAAACTTCTATTTTGGTACCTAAGATATAAAAAATTTAACATTTAAATACTCGGGTAACCGGTTGAAGACTAATTTTAGACTAAAAATATCATGTCACTAACCACATCAGCAAATAATATTGAGTTAGATACGACATCACATGTCACATCATATGTCACATCAGCATGATAACCGGTTAATGCTTCAACCCGTTACTCGGGTACTTAAATGTTTAAAACTTTACATTTTAGGTACCAAAATGAAATTTTAAAAGTATGTTACCCAAAATAAAAATCAAGTTAATGTACGTTATTTTTTCATATAATTTGTCCAAACTAAAAATGGAGTACATTTTTATAACAATTTAAATTAAATTTCAAAATAAAATTTGTTTTTAAGATATAAATTAAAAAGCATTAAAAAATAATTTTTAAAACATACTTTTATTCTATAAAAAGGTTTTCCATGTGGACAATTTCTATAATATTAAATAGAGTAAATTACATGTTTGGTCCCTGTAATTTTATAAACAACTAGAGTATAAATTAGGCTCCGAAGTAGAAAATTGATTTATGTGCTTATGCGGTATGCATTTTGTTTTAAATTAGGTCACTCGTCTTAATTCTGTTTATAAATTTTGTTAACTTATGAGTATTATGGTTTTTAATACCTTTTTTAATCTTATTTACTATTTAAAAAATATATAATTATATATATATATATATACACACACATACACACACACTCTTTTGTGCCCTACTGCCTGCCGCTATCAAGAGAGAAATCTCCATCTCCGATGAAGCACAGACAGCAAATCAAGCGAGAAATCAGTGGATTTTCACAGAATCATCTGGAATGGATCCAAGCATATAGACAAACCCCATTGATCTTATAGTTCATACACTAAGACAGTAAATACGTGAATTTCACACAGTATTTTATAAGGGAGAAAGAAGTAGAGGTCATATTTTTGTAAGACGATTAGATTAAAACACACAGTGAAACATGCATAATTCTATAAAGAGAAAAACACTTAAAGAAGTCTTCGTGTGGGAGAATATGCAGATTTAAATGGAGGGCAATCTTTACAATGACAAAACTTCAGGTCGTTCCTCTATAGACCGCACTCACTCTCTCTCTCTCTCTCTCTCTCTTTCATACACGTACACAATTATGTATCTAGAATCGTAGATGGAACTAATACAGTGTAGTTTTAGTACAGATGCAACAAGGCCTCCAAAATGATTGGAACGAGCCTGTCAACGAATACGAGGAACATCTCATCATACATATAATATATTTTTAGTAGAACATACAGAAAAGGAAAAAAAACAATCAAAATACTCCTGAGTTAACAGATTCTTTAAACGAAAATGGGGTGACAATCAAATCAGAAACCAAGTGTATACCATAGGGACCAATTGTGTAAGTTTTCAATTTAAAGACCCAACCCATGATTTTTTACAAACCCCATGGACCAAACATGTAATTGACTCTAATATATAAGTCAACGGATTATAACATCAAATAAATGTGCACGTGTGTAAGAATCTCAATGAGTATATAATGATGAAACCCAAAAATGGACATTGAAACATAAAACGCCTCAAAATTTCTTCATATTTTTGAATGAAATTGGAACCAAATTCTTCCCCTAATCGTCTCCATTCATCAGAATCGATTCGATTCTTCACTCGTGAAATCTTCTCTGCAATCCCCAATTTTCCAATTCCTAATCAACGATCCAACAATCTTCGCTGATCGGGTTGCATTTTCCTGGAAAATTCACCTTTGATTTTCCCGGAAAATAATTTCTTCCGATCAGATATTCAATCAATCAATCAATCATCCCCCTTCCCTTCAATTCGTTTGAATTATCGTCGATATTTGATCGTTGCTGACATCAGGTAATTGTTTTTTCTCGTTGATTATGGTTTGAATTCGTTGTGTGATTGTTTATGTATGAAACTGATTGGTTGATACGATTTGAGGTAGGGCAAGGAGAGAGGACATTTGATTGATAGCTGGTGAAGATGACTACTCGTCATGGGAATTCTTCTTCTCGGAGAAGTATGTCGATGACATCTTCATCTTCTCGGAAAAAGAAAGCTTATGAAAATGGACATCCTGATCCTGGTCGCAAAGCTCTCACCAATTCTCGTTCCTCCGTGTATGATTTGTTATCTATTTGTGTGTTGATTGACTCGTAATTTCTACTTCCTGATTTGCATGTACGTTTCCATTTTTGGATTTGCGGATTATCATCGTAACGCTATTTTTTTATTGGGGGATAAACCATAGCAACGATGATGAAGCTTAATCATCATTGTAATCATCAATGAGAAACGAAACGTTGCCTTGTTAGATGGAAACTCTTAATGTTTGAAGTTCGGAGCCTGGAGAAAGATTACATGCTTTTCTTTGCAATAATCTTCGATAGTTTTTGCTTTTCCGTTAGGATGTTTCTCTCTATCAGAGCAGGAAACCTAGAGGTGTAGCACCACAGAATTAGAGATATTGTTAACAGATTCTTGAGCAGAAAGATCAATGGCAGAATGAAGGGGCCGTTTGGTTGGTTATCCATTAATTCCTAATGGATAAAGTTGTCTATGTGGATTAATCTAAGTGTATAGATTGGGAAAGTTTTGTTTGGGAGAGTTTTTCAAAGATGGAATGAGCCTGTTTTTTAATTGGGAATGACAGGATTTGAAAAAACTTGGCTTTCTGCATAAAGCTTCCCTCTAGAAGCATACTGAATAAGCTACTTTCTTTATCATTAAGCCACTACCAATCAGTCATGTATGTATAGTTGACAGAATAAGCTCTGAGCCCCATTAAGCTCATTAAGCTGCTAACAAACTAGGCCAAAAAAACCACTTTCTTACCTCATAACACAGTGTAAGACCTTGAGAAATGGTTGGATTAAAGCTGACATTGGAATCTTCCATGAGCAACAATGGTTGTTTAGATTGCATTTCAAGAGAATCCCTGTTTCAAATGGAGGAAAATGGATGCAGATACATTGCAAAATGATCTAAAGTAGCTGTTTAAGTAACATCTGAAATGAACATGCACAGCTTGATCTCGTATATGTAATGTATCAAGAAGATGATTACGTCCGTGCTAAGAAGCTTGTGAAAAAGTTTGTTGTTGTAGAGCATAATTAATTGTATTATTTTCACACTTCCATTTAGGGTATGCTCATAGGCTACTTTTGGAAACATTGGAACAAGCAGGTTACGCATTAGCTCACATGAAGGAACTAAAATAGAAATGTCAATATTAGTTTTCTCATATGAAGTTTCTAAAATGATAAAGGTTACTTGTTGACATGCATCAAACAGGGGATTAACAGGAGAACGTACAGTGAAGCAATTGCGCCTATCGAAGGCCTTGACAGTCCCTGAAACTACAACTATTTATGAAGCCTGCTGTCGGATGGCTGCTCGAAGAGCTGATGCTCTTTTGCTCACCGACTCAAATGCATTACTCAGTGGTATATTGACAGACAAGGTTTGTCTTGAATCCTCACATGAATATAGAATCGACCCAACAATTGTTCCATCACATCAGGATAAAGTTTGACTAACTAAACTCTTTGGCGATCGAAGGATATTGCAATAAGAGTTATTGCTCGTGAGATTGATTATATGAATACACCTGTCTCAAAGGTGATGACAAGGAACCCAATTTATGTGCTGTCTGATAGTCTTGCGGTGGAAGCCCTACAAAAGATGGTCCAAGGTTTGTAACAACTAGGAAGAACTCGTTGGTCTTTGATGAACCTTCTAATCTTGCGAATTAAATTATGCATGCAGGAAAATTTAGACACTTGCCTGTTGTAGAGAAGGGTGAGGTTATTGCTTTGCTTGACATAGCAAAATGTTTATATGATGCTATCGAACGTATGGAAAGGGCAGCTGAAAAAGGCAAGGCTATAGCAGCTGCTGTTGAAGGCGTTGAGAAGCACTGGGGAACAACTTATCCTGGTTAGATTGTATAGTAGATTCTATATTTAAGTTCAGATATCTCTTTTGTCTAGATGGGGCGGACTCAGGGCTGTTTGGTTGGTTTTCCATTAAGTCTAGTACGGATAAAACTGTCTGTGTGGATTAATATGTCTGTATAGATTGAGAAGATTTTTGTTTGGGATTGTTTTTTCATAGATGAAAGGAACATGTTTTTTAATTAAGAGGGACAGGTTTGGAAAAAACTTAGCTTTCTGCATAAAGCTCCCTTAGAAGCTTACTGAATAAGTCACTTTCTATATCATTAAGCCACTACCAAACAGTCATGTATAGCTGACCGAATAAGTTGCGAGTCCCATTAAGCTTATTAAGCTACTAACAAACAGGCCCTCAGTTGTGGCAGAAAAGTGGGATTTTAATTATCTACACTTTTTACTTATCGTTATACAGGTCCCAACACGTTCATTGAAACACTACGAGAGCGAATGTTCAGACCTTCCTTATCTACCATTATCTCGGAGAATTCAAAGTAGGTAATAGTTTTATGTATTTACTTTCTGTATATACCACCTTATCTTGATGAATTCAAAAACATAATCCAAGTTAGGATATTCCTTATCCAGGATTGTGACCGTTTCGCCATTCGACACAGTTGTAATGGCAACAAAAAAGATGCTCGAGTTTCGTATTAGCTCTGTCATTGTAACAGTTGATAACAAGCCACGAGGGATTCTAACGTGAGTTTCTCTCAAATATATTTCACACTTTCACTTATGCATTTGGAAAGAATGATGTGATTATTATAACAAACTATATATTAATGTACATTTTGTACAATATTAGCTCAAAGGATATCTTAACGCGGGTGATTGCACAAGATCTTCAAGCTGAATCAACCTTAGTGGAGAAGGTGATCAGTTCTTAAGTGGTTCCCTTTTCTTGTTCATGTGCTATACAGGTGCTTCGTCACAAAATCTTTTCAACTTACTATCTAGCCGTGTGCGATTGATTATGTAGGTAATGACTCCAAATCCAGAATGTGCTACTATTGATACACCTATTGTCGATGCCCTGCACACCATGCATGATGGAAAGTTTTTACATCTTCCGGTTGTTGATAGAGGTGAAGAACAACATTATCTGTTTTGATTTATACATTTAATAAATACATTCATTTCGAATCTGAAACTGGCGGATGGTTTGATGCAGATGGATTTGTTGTTTCCATTGTTGATGTTCTCCATATCACTCATGCTGCAATAGCCACAGTAAGTGAAACTACTTGTATTCGGGGTTATAATTTATTGGGGTTTCAAATAAACGAGTGTGAAAGTCCTTCCTTTTTCTTTCTTGTTCTCTCATAATAAAATGATTTTATATCGGCCTTGGATTTTACTAAAAGCCCTTTAGTTATTCGGCTGCAATACTTCAAGCATAATGTGATATTATAGACTCCAGGAAATCTAAAATCTTACCAGATCCTATTCAATTTTGGTGATATTAGATGTATCTCTCATCATCCATGTAGTGTTAATGTATGTATCATATCAACTATACCACATACTCCTTTCCGTCCCAAAATAGGTGTCCACATTTCTATTTTGGTTTGTCCCAAATAGGTGTCCACATTTTTATTTTGGTTTGTCCCAAATAAATGTCCACTTTCAAAAGTAACTGCATACTTTCTGATGCGGGTTTGGGCGATGGAGGACCGGACCTAATGTTCTTGGAGACCCATGATCGGGCTACCAAACAGGGCCACGCTTAAAAGGCCATAACTCTTGCTCCAGGTGTCCGTTTCAGGCCCACGACCAGTCAAATCAAAGCCCGGTTTAAGCATGGTTTTTAGACATCTTGTTTTTTTACTTATTTTTGGCATTTTCGTTGGGCTTTTGTGTTTGGCCCATAATCGTTTTCAGGCCCGCTTTATTTTGGGCCTTCTATTTATATGTTTCTATTGAAAACTGGATGATCAGACTGGTATTTGACAGAACTTCGATTTCCCCTTCCCAAATTTTGAGTTCTTGTGAATTCGATTTTTGAAGCCTAGGATTCGGCATCCATCGAATCAACAAATCCTAGAGGAGGTTATCCACATGGTATTCACAGATCAACATGGTGACCTGTAATTTTGCATTCTTATACGCTGCATCACTTTCCAATTACCCTTAATTTTGAGATGGAGAAATTTATAAGTTAAAATTGTCATTTAGTTAATTAAAAACTGCGGTTTTTCATTGTGGTCATTTATTTTTAGATGGAGGAGTATGTGTGAGTGAGTGTATCATAATATTATGTTTATTTTATGCCATTCTTTGGTTTTTGAAGCTGATATAGAACTACCATTATTTGCAAACTAGGTGGGAAATGCTACCGGGGTTAGTAATAACGAAGGAGGAAGTTCTGTGATGCAAAAGTTCTGGGACTCTGCAATGGCATTATCGCCTATAGATGACGAGGATGAAACTAGGAGGTTATAGTCTACACCGTTGCTACGTTCATGTCATTTTAATTGATTGTTGGTTTGCCTAAATATGGGTTGTGAATTGCAGCGAGAGTTCGTTGAAATTAGCTTCTGAAGGGGGAGAAACTGGAAAATCTCTTCCTTATCCTTCTTCATCTCATCCCAATTCATTTGCTTTCAAAATCCAAGATAAGCGGGGTCGAATGCATAGATTTATCTCTGGTATGCTTGTTCTTCTGTTTATAGAATCATCTAGCCATCATTTAACTTGGCATTAAGGTTTTCATCCGTAATAGCCAATCCGACACCCCCCTTCACTTTGTGGCCACCTTTTAAACTTATTGACTGAAATACCCGATTACACGCAAGTAACACTTACACAACTTGAGAAACCCACTTTTTTCAATATAATATTCAGAAAAAGTAGACATTATGCAAGTTGCATGAATGCTACTTGTGTAATGTCTACATAGACAAGCTATGTGGCACACACTGATTGCGTAAGTAAATGAGGTTTGGGGGTATGTGCCACATAGCTTGTCCACATAGACATTACGCAAGTAGCACTTACGCAACTTGCGTAATGTCTACTTGCGTAATGTCTACTCTTTCTGAATATTATATTGAAAAAGGGTGGTTATGCAAGTTGGGTAAGTGCCACTTGTGTAATCTTCGCTATTTCGGTTAATAAGTTGAAAAGGTGGCTATAAAATGAAGAGGAAGGTCAAATTGGCTATTTTGGACAACTTCCCTAATTTTAATCTTGTCCATCGTGTATGTTGCATGTAGAGACGTTTTAAATTTTTGTTTGTTTAAATAACTTTATCGACTGTTCTACCAGATTCTCGAAGCTTGACAGATCTTATAACCGCAATACTTCAGAGAGTAGGGGGTGAGATTGACCGCAACAACCTCCCACAGATTTTGGTACTTCTGGCTACATTTATCTGATGTCGAATATCGTATAATTCTTCTCTTCGATTATTACATTTACGAATGATCTCATATTGTAGTACGAAGATGAGGACCAGGATAAGGTCATACTTGCAACAGACAGTGATCTTGTTGCAGCAGTGGAACATGCAAGATTAGCTGGTTGGAAGGTGTGTTTGGTCTTCCTCCTCGAGCTAATATTTTACTAATTACATCCGTTATCTCTAAATAAGTACAACCTTTAACAAGACATTTAGGGGCTGTTTGATTGGTTTTCCATTAAGTCCTGTATGGGTAAAGCTGTCTGAATGGATATATCTGGATAGATTTGGAAGGTTTTACTTTGGGAGGGTTGTTTCATAAATGGAAGGAGTGTGTTTATTAATTGGGAGAGACCGGTTCAAAAAAAAAAATAGCTTTCTGCATAAAGCTAGACGGAAGGAGCATGTTTTTTAGTTGGGAGTGACAGATTTGGAAAAGCTTGGCTTTCTATATCATTAAACCACTACCAAATACTCATGTATAGCTAACCCCAATAACCTATGAGTCCCATTAAGCTCATTAGGCTACTAACAAACATGATTTAAGTAGAAGTTTGATATTTTGATGGTGAATGGTTAACACAGGGATTAAAGTTGCATCTAGATTATTCCGGAATGCCTAGATATCGAAAAGGGTCGAAATCATCATCAGCAGCGGTAGGGGTTGATCAGGCACATTATCAAGCAGATGCATGGGCTTCTGCATACAGTGCTGCTGCAGCTGGAGCTGCGTTAGTGGCTGGATTAGGCGTATTAGCGTTTTTGAGAAGATCTGGTAACTGAAATTAGCTTCGTAACTTCTTATTGCTCGTGATTTTTAACAGATTTCAACATTTGACGACGCTGAGATCATAGGATTATATATATATAGACTTCGGATCATGTGAGACCATACTGTTTTTGCGAGACCCGTGAGAGCACAAATAATACCGAACCTTCATAGCAAAACGCTATAAAGGTAAACCTTCAACCTTTACAACAAAACATTATGAAGGTAAATCTTCAACCTTTACAGTGTTTTTGGTGTGAAGTTTTGGTGTCTTTAGTACCTTCACAATGTTTTACCTGTGAAGATTCAATGTTACTTTATGGTCTCACAAGTCTAACGAAAACAGGTTGGTGTCACGTGAACCCAACTCTATATATATACAGTTGATTGAAGGGAGAAATTTTGTTCGTTGTTAGTTTCGTGGATCCTGAAGAAAGAAAAAGAAAAGAAAAGTCTCAATTCTTTGAGGTTTATGTAGTTTGGGATTTCATGAATGAATTTGTGTTGTATGATCATTGCAATGCAATGCTACAATATGTTGTTTCAAGACTCTCTTTTTTGTCAGAATGGTGTCATGGGCTATGTCAAGATTAATCTCGTTAAAATTTCGACCGTAAGACATGAGCCTTGATAAATTCAGTGGCCACAACTGTTGTGGACCCTTGAAATTGAACCCAGGACAGATGGATATTTCATCACATCTCCCGGGTCTCAAAGCTCAACCACTACGCTACAACCTTGTGGTCCTGTTTCAAGACTTTTTGGCCAATTTCTGCTATTTAGGTGTTCTATTTTTGGTTTTTAGTATTTCTTTTTTCTCCTCTTTCCAAAAAAAGGTTTGTATCTTATGGGTCTGTTTTTATGTAACAGGAGTAAAAAAATGATTGTGGGTCCTATTTWCTTTTTTTTTTTTTAGTATATAATATTTATATACGGTAAATAAAACAAATAAAGATATATACCCTTCTCACGTTTTGTGAGGTTTGAACCCTACCTCTTATAAGGCTAAAAACTTAGATACCGACATACCGTTAAGCCAAAGGTATCTGGGTAGGTCCTATTTACTTGATGTGAGAAGAAATTGTGATGGAATTTTTAAAATGGATGATAAGAAAAGAGTTATTTATCAAATTATTTATTTTTTTCTTTTCAAATGGTCTTTGGCTTAGTGGTATAGTAGTTTTTGGTCTCTTAAAAAGTCAAAGTCTTTAGTCTTTCAAAAGGTCAAAAGTTCAAACTTCACCATGGATAAAAGGATGTGTACGTTTATTTGTTACATTTCATTTTTTCAATTTTATGAAGAAGATACCCAATAATTTTATAAATTTCCGTAAGAAAAGATATTTAAAAATGTGTTTTTTACCGTAGATAATGACTCGCCGTCTGACTTGAAAAAGACGAAAAAGTTGATTCAGTAAATTTGCAAAATTCTTGGCTAATTTGATCATAGTAAAAATATGGCTATTTGTTGATTCTTTTTGTTGCTAAGAATGGTTAATTTATATATATATATATAGTCAAATTTAGGAGGAAAAGGTCAAAAAATAAAAACTGAGAAACATCCTGGTAATCGTTTATTTGGAAGAGATGTATACTGGTAATTTTAAGCAAGTTGTTTGGTATGCACATGTGTATAACATGCACACGTGCATAAAAACCAATAAACAACTTTAATTACCAGTATGCACATGTATAAAATAACTCTTTAGTATTCATACATCAATATGATACATATTATTCATCATTAATAATTATATATGTTCACGTGTATATAATAACTTTTCAACGTTCATACATCAGTATGATATACGTCATGATTGTACATTTTTCACCGTAACATTCATCATTAATATTTATGTATGATCCCGTGTATACAATAACTATCAAGTATTTATATTAGTATGACATTTATCATAAAAATATTTATTTTCACCATAATATTCATCATAAATATGCTACAGCATCAAGTCAATGGATGGGTTCTTGATAAGTCTCGATTAGTGTCGATAGGTTCTAATGGGTTGTCGATCGATCTCAAAGTGTTCTTGATTGGTCTCGTTGGTTACCAATTCTCCTCAATGAAACATGAAAGTGATAGTCTATGGTTTTGAACACAAACAAATAATAAATCAATTAATAGGTTTCTCGATGAAAAATGAAAGTGGTAGGTTATGATTCAACACATATAAACACATACCAAGTTAATGTTGATTCTCGACCATTATCTATCGGTTCTCGATCAATATCGATATAGGTTCTCGTCCGGTCTCGATGGGTTTTAGATCGGTCTCAATGGGTAATGGGTAACGGTGATGAATAACGTGGTGCCTTACAACGTTGAAGAATGTCATATCGAGTTATGGACTTACGGTGTCTAGATGTTGTACTCATTTGAATGTACATAAATTTTCATAATTAATATAACACATATATACTATTTCACGTAAAAAAAAAGGTTAAAACGAAAAAAAAAAAAAAACTATATCGAGATAAAAGTCGTATCGATGAGCATGAAATTCTCGTTTTTTTATATAATTTGTTTGATTAAAATAATAGTAATTTTTAAGATAATTTATTTTAAACTTTTAAAGAGGTAAAAAAATTAATTCAAAAATAAAATAGAAATTCAAAAAAGGTCGGCGTGGATTGAAATTAAATGTTTTTCCCCGCTCACCACCTTAATTGATAATTTTAAATAAAAACTATATTAATGTGAATTGTTGAATCAAATAAAATGAAGGACCGAGATTTAGTCCTCATATTTACAGTGAAAATTGAATTTGAATTTGAA